TACACATTTATTTTTTTTATTATTATTGCACATATCTATTTATTTATAAAATTATTAATATAGTTTGATTTGATATGATTTGATTTTGAATTATATATATATATATTTCGTTAATATTCGATGGAATTAATTGAAAAGAAAAAAACATATTTTTTTTTATACATATATCCTAATTAAATTTAAGGTATATTAACTTAAAAAAAAAAAAAAATAACCCAAAATTAAGAGAAAGAATAAAGTAAGGGGTTACAATTTTGTTTTGGTGTATTGTTATATAAACTTTAAGGTTCTTCGCCAGTTGACGTCAACAGCAGAGAGACCAGAGATAAGAAAAAAAAAAGGTAAAATTATAGAGACAGCCATTTGGGTGTACAGAAGTACAAAAAATATTTTTTTTTTTTTTTGTTAATGTATTAAATTTTAACTAGTAGAATTGTTTACTATTAAATAAAAATAAAAAAATGAATTAAATGAGCATTTTAGACATTTTAAATACCAACATAAGATAACAAAAAAAAAAAACATTGTATTAGCCTTAAGTAAAGTTAAGAAAAATAAGTTTGAGAAAATAAGTTTGTTATGTTAGTTTAAAGTTAGTTTTAAGATTGAAAAAAAAAAGAAAATACAATGATAATAAAAGTTGTTGAAAAATGAAATAATGATGCAGGCCTAAAAACTTATTTATTTGGCGTTGGTGGGAGTGTCTAGGGAAAGATAGAATTCATATAGGCTGACATGTGACAGTGTGAATGAGTGTAGAAATCTGTTATAGACTATATAGACGGTGACAGTTGACGTTACAAGCTATTATAACCTAGTTAGCACCCTCATGTGATAGCTACATATATCTAAATGTAAGTTTTGCACGGGATTCCTTCCCAATTTAACAGGTGACATGAATTTTTGTTGATGTCCGCGGTTGTTGTTGAGCGTGAGAAGAACCACCCCCAAAACCGGCGAGCATACCGGGCTGGCCACCATGTCATCGCTTCACGTTCACTTCAAGGTTACTTCGCCCACCGAAGACCGGATACAACAAGGCTTCTAGTTTATTCAAAAGACCTTTGTGCCAGACTTTGTTGAAGGCCTGTGCGACATCGAAGAATACAACAGAACAAACTTTTTTACCTTCAATAGCCCTTTCAATTTCATCGACAATGCGGTGTACTTGATCTATAGTTGAATGCTTACCACGAAAACCAAATTGATGGTTTGGTATTAGCTTTTCGGATTTTATTATAGGCATTAGTCTCTTGTACAATAGCTTTTCAAAGAGCTTCGAAATATCAATAAGTGACGAAGAATTATTGTGTCCAAACATACAAGCAACATTTCATGAATCGTCAAACGTCAATAATTGTGAAATTGACTTATTCAACAATCAAGCTGACCCAAGATGCGATATGTATCAGCTCAAGGACACAACTGTATGGTATCAACTACATCATCCGAATCAATGGATTTACGCAACCATAAATAACATCAAAATGAATGCAGTATGCAATAAGAAAGCATTTCAATTAACTTTAGTGGTTTGATTAAATTAGAACCTGAATGCATCATCAAAAATGAACACATTACAATTCAAGGTCATAAAAAAATGGTTACTTCAATGCAGGCATCAATCACCAGTTTTAACCTATCTGTAGGATGGACAAAACAATATGCTAGCAATAACATCAGCGTCAAACCATTGTCACCCTCAATCCATGTGCTTGAACTTATTCAACGAAAATTAGCCCACATCCAGAGTTCCAGTTTTTCAACTGATGCTATTAGTCCAGTGTACTATTATATACAGTGGCTCACAGCTTATTTGATGCAAGCAAAAATTTTTTGGAAAATGTTGTTTATTTCAAAATATTTTGCAAAATTAAAAAAACAAAGTATGCAGAGTTATTGTTTATAGTGTGTTTATTCATTTAAAAGAAAAAAAACCCAAAAATCTTCTTCCATTCCTTAGTAATGCATCAAAAACCAAAACCAAATGAAAAATTCATGTCACAGCTTAAATGATGCAACATCAAAAAAACTAATATTTTTACAAACTTCCGGACTAATTCTAAGTACTTAGTACTTTGTTGGATATCCCTTATTAGTAATAACAGCATGAAGCCTTTTTGGCATGGAATCAACCAGTTTTTTGGTATAATCTGGACTAATTTTACTCCACTCTTGCTGTAAAGCGTTTCTTAAGTCAAAATTGTTGCGGATGTCATGTTTTCTGATATTTATCTTCAAAACGGACCACAAATTTTCAATAACGTTCAAGTCTGGTGATTGTGCAGGAGTTTGGACAATGTGTGGACATTGCCATATCAACCACGTTTGTACTAATGCTGACTTGTGCTTAGGGTCGTTGTCTTGGTAAAAGCGAAAATCATCTGCAATCTGCAATTTCGTTGCACTTTGAATCAAATTTTCTTGAAGAAGCTTTAAGTAAATATTTTTATTCATAGATTCTTCGATGGAGACCAAATTTCCTACTCCATTTGATGACATATGTACATGCCCAAACCATAACATCACCACCTCCGTGTTTTATGGTAGCACGTAAATTTTGTGGTTTGAGCTCAGAATTGACTTTACGCCATACATAAGATCTTCCATCTGATCCAAATAAGTTTATTTTGACTTCGTCTGCAAAAAGTACATTTCGCCAAAATGCTGAACTCTTATTTATGCTCTCGTGCAAACTGCAACCTTTTAATTCTAGTTTTTGCACTTGCGAAAGGTTTCTTTACAGCTATTCTTCCATTGAAATTTGATTCTCTCAATATTCTGTGGACGGTTTCA